ATATGTGGAATATAAGGACAAAGAAAAACTGAAGGAACAAAACAGCAGCAGAGTCACAGAACCCAAGAATGGACTAATAGTTACCAAATGGAAAGGGACTGGGGAGGATGGGTGGTAAGGGAGGGACAAGGGCGGGGGAAAAGAAAGGGGGCATTACGATTAGCATGTATAGTGTGGGGGGGCACGGGGAGGGCTGTGCAACACAGAGAAGACAAGTAGTGATTTTACAGCATCTTACTACGCTGATGGACAGTGACTGTGAAGGGGTATGTTGGGGGGACTTAGTGAAGGGGGGAGCCTAGTAATCATAATGTTCTTCATGTAATTGTAGATTAGTGATACCAAAGAAAAAAAAATCTACAAAGGGGAAGGCTGAAAAAAAAAATGAAGTCCCCCTGGGTATAATGGTGGATGGGAAAGACTCAGGAAGTGTTTAGGAGGGTCCTGCAGTAGTGTATGTGAAAGGTGAAAGCAATCTGCACTAGAGACAGTAGAAACAGAAAAAAGTAGATTTGAACACATATTTAGGTGGTAAAATGGATAGGGCTTGTTAATTATCTGAATATACGAAGTGACAGTGAAAATCAAGAACAAGGCTCAGATTTCTGGTTTGAACCTGTGGCTGGCACTGAGGAGAAGGGGCAGGTTTGGGGAGGAAGGCTGGGGTTTGAAATACCTGTGGTACCTAGCACAGAAATTGTAGCTGAAGCTAGGGGAGTGAAAAAAATAGCCAGGATGGGAGAATGCCTGCCAAAGAAGAAGGAAAAAGTGCCTGTGAGAGCGCTGAGGAATACCAAAGGCCCATCTGTTCACTGTACAGAAGTATGTTGTGTGTGTGTCTGGGCTGAGACATGTACAGGCTTAGAAAGGGAAGACTGGCAGCAGGCAGGGACAGGGGTAACTGGGCATGGGAATGGAAGATGTGTGTATGTGTGTGTCTGTATGTGTGTGTGTGTGTTCATGTGTACATATAGGGGGAGACCCTGGATCACAACTCCCTTCTCTCCCTTGCAGCCTGTCTCTCTTTCTAGCTGTGGTCTACATGGGCTGTTGTGGGCTTACCCTCTCTCTGTACAGCTACGAAGATGTCCCCAACCCCTAAGGCTGATCCTCACCTTCAGATCCTCACACAGGTCACCATAGTCAATCTCGATGAGGGCCTCTCGTGCATAGATACTAGAAGTTCGCTGGGAACCACTCACAGAATCTTCCCCCTGGGAGCTACCCTGCAATGGTAAGAGGGAGTCAAATGGAGCAGACAGGCCATGAGTGCCCCTCTAGAGGGGACTGGGGGTGCCTCTGCAGCCTTCAGTGTCTTTGAGAAGCACATTGCTAGAAAGCACCTGTGGCAGAAAGACAGCAGCTTTGAAGGCAAAAAGACTTAAGTTCAAAGTTTGGCTCTAAAACTGACCAACAAGCCATGCTGTCAGATCCTGATTGACACTTGAATCCTGATTTAAACACAAACCTCCAATTGTAACATAGGACAATGTCTGCCTGGCAGGTCTGTGCTTAGGATCAGGAGTAATTATGTCATGTGTTACCATGATAGTGGCACATTGCTGGTGTTGAAAGTATTTTGTTGAATTAAACTGAAATGCTATTTGGGAAGTGGGGAGGGAGAAAGATGCAAGGGACTGAGCATCTCAGGTCAAAAACAAGATGTATACAAACCTCTTGGCAGTTAACATCCCACCCCCTTGCTACGAATCTTCACTGCCAGTGGATAGCATGCCTTGGCTCTAATGCCTAGTGTCCTTCCCTTTCCTATACTGAGCTTTGTCACCTCTGCATTGCTGATGTCCCTTACCCAACCCTCTTCTGGCCAATCTCCCTCACTGCAGCTAAGCTATCATTCCTCAAGCCCCCCCACTTCCATCTTCCTTTGCTCTTGGCTGATGTCCCTCCATTCCCATTCTTACCAATAACCATCACTTGCTAGAGCTAAGTGAGCTCAAGTCCGTAATGTTAATGAACAATTTCATCTTCTCCTGGCCTACCTCCCTCACCATTTATTGACAACAGCTCTATCCCCAGTTCAACTTTCTCCTGGAAAAGTACCTTTCACCTCCCCTGCCTTCACAGCCTCACCCTGTCTCACCTCCCCTGCATTCCTCATGCCCTATACCACCTCCACCCACTGTCTCTCTCTCTCACGAGCCCTCCCTCACTCTTTTTTATCCCCCATCCCTGGTTAATGTTGCTTATAGCCCACTCCCACCACCAGCCACAATACTCACCTCTTCCTGACTAATATCATCCATGGTGCCTTTAGACAGTGGCAACTTTATGTCCTGCATCTTGCAGGCCTGTAGCAGGTTGTGGCGGTCACTGCGCTTCTGCTCAAGTTTGGTCTCAATGGCTGTCACCTCCTTCTGTAAATGAGTCATTTCCCTAAGAAGGTCCAGAGAGAGAGGTAAGACTCAAATCCAGAGGCTGCCTGATCTACCTAGTTCCCCCAAACCCAGGCTTGAACCCACTCACTTGTTGGCGCCCCCCAGTTTCTTACGAATCTCCTCCATCTCATGATTCTTGTCATTCACCTCTGACTTCTTGGCAAGGTGCTGATTCTTCAGGTCTTGCAGCTGGGCCATGGTCTCATCTATGATCTTCATGTGTCTTTGCTCCTCCTGGTCCCAGTGGGAGAACAGGAAAAGAGGTGAAGGCTTTCCCGTCTCACCTTGGGATCTTTGCCACTTGCCACCTGCCCTTTCCACCAGACAGTTTGCTGGAGCCTCTATTCAATGAGCTCTGCTTTCACATACCACTGTCACACCTTGGGCTTCTTGTATCTTTTTCCAAATTATCTGCTTGTCCTCCCCTCCACACCCCCATTATGTAAGTTATCTGCTGTAGGAAGTTCAAAATATCAAAAAAGCATGAAGTAGGAGGGGAAAAAAATCACTTGTAATCCCACCAGCCAAACACAACCAATTAACATTTTAACCTATTTCTTCCCAGCATTGACTTATAGACAGCATTACATACCTAAGACTAGATTGAAATTAGAACTCTATATTCTGACTGTTATATTTAAGCATCTTTTCCACATCAAAACTATTGTCATAAGCAATATAACATAAGTATTTTTTTTAAACCCACACAAACAATACTGTGTATTTTCTATGAGTACCCACATATGAATGTAAAAACTATTAAAGTACACGCCTACAATGTCTGGAAAAATGCACAATACATGGGGATTAGCCCCAGGCAGAGTAAAGGCCCTGGGACTGGAGTGGCCAAAGGGGTGGTCTTAATTATAATGTTCTCATTTTTTAGAATGTTTTGTTTTCATTTTGATCTTAAAGTCACATAAAGGGGATATATCTGCAACTTACTCTCAAATGGCTCATAAAAATAATATGCACACATTAAGAGGGAATGTAAAAGCAAATATGATAACATGTTAATGATTGATGAATCTTAGTGATAGGTTGATCTTTGTACTATTTGTATAGGTACAGGTAGCATGTTGTACTTTTGTTCGTATTATTCTTCCAACTTTCTGCTAAATTTAAAATGATTTCAAAATAAAAAATAAAAAACTCATGGAAATGTAGATTTTGGATCATTGAGATGTCCACCTAGTCCTGCCCCAGAATTTCACTGCCCAATCTGCATTTACATTTAAGATTCCAGTGATACCAAAGAGGACTACTTTAATCAACAGGGTTGAATGAGGGGAAATCCCCCACCAAACCAACAACAAACATAAGCAGACATAAAAGTCAAATGATAAGCTCAAACCAAGTGAGGCCCAAATCACCTCAGGCAGGGGTGCTGTAATGAACAAAAGCTTTACAGGAATTTAAAGAAAAGGGGTGTGGGAAAAGTGAATCATCAGACAATACTCAGTGGCATAAGCAGGGTCAAAGGAACTGAGCCGTGGCCTTCTGCAGCACAGGCACTCTAGGAAAGGGACTCAGTTTCAGTAAAACACCATCATCCGCCGTACTGAATTAACGTGGTTGATTATAAAATTCAATTGGTTTCTCCTAGCTTTTTGGGTAAATGTTCTAAATGTGTATGTCTGTATATATTTAACGTTAAGGGTTTTTAAGCCAACGCTAGAGATATTAGATCTTTAAATGGGGTTTGTATATTATTGAAATTTGAAGACCATTAAACTATACAAAGCTTAGATGAATGTAGCATAATTTGCTAAATGCCTAAATCCCCTGGGGGCACTGGATAGTTTCCAATTTGGAAGTATAAATGCTAATAAACATCAACCTGTGTTCACAACCTGTGTCAGCATTTTGAGTTTCCTCAGATATTGTTGCAATTGAGGGGATAAATGTACAAGACTCTCAATGAATGGTGCCATATAGCCCAAGAATGTTGGTCTTGTGCACCACGGCCAGTATTAAGCATTATCCTTTCCTTTTACGTCTTGGGTAATGTAATAGGAAACAAATTGTACCTGATTGCGGCTCTAACTTACATTTCTCTGATTTCTAATAAGGCTAAATTATGTGTATGTATTTATGGTTTATGTGAATCTCTTCTTGAACTGTTTGTGCCACTGATTTTTCTTCCTGTTTATCTAGAACTTTCAATGAGAACTTTATAAATTATAGCTATTATCCTCTATCTATCATATCTCTTCCAATTTTTCCTCCCAGTGTTTAGTTTGTCTTTTCATGCTCTCCTTCCTTACCTTCTTGAGCTTTTCTATCTCATTTTCATCCTTTTTCACTGTCTGCTCCCACATGTGTACTTTATCCTGGTCCTCCTTCAGTTGGTTCTTTTCAAAATCCAATTGGATGCCCAAGCGAGTCTTCTGATTCTCAAACTCCAAACTGTGGGGAGAAAGGAGAACTAGGCCCAGGGTGTAGGGACTCAGTTACTACTCACTCACCATTCAGCTCATCCACCCATATCAACATGAAACTGTCGCCTTAAATTGGAGAAATAAGTTCCTCAGCCTAGATGTGTAGATATGGCACAAGGCAAGGGAGATTGGGCCAGACTACATTAATCCCCCTTTAAACACGGAAGGGCTCCAGAGCCCCGCTGAGTTCCTGGAAGGAAGCACAAAGAAGCCCATCTGAACCCACCAGCTATGATAATTCCTATTTATTAAGCTTCTGTGTACTTTACATACATTACTTCTAATCCTCTAATCAGCAGCTCCACAAGCAAGTGTTATTATCCTAATTTTATAAATGAGGAAACTTGCACCAAGAGGTAAAAGACCTTGCCTAAGGCCACACAGCTAGTAAATGGCACTGGTGAGACTGGAACCCAGGTCTAACACCAAAACCTGTGCTCCTCCTCATACGGCATCATTGCAATACCATGTGGTGGGGTAAGAGGATTGTATCCCAACTCTGCCATTTACTAGCACTGTAACTTCAGGCAAGTTAGTTATACTCTCCATGCCTATTTCCTCATATGTAAAATGAAGATAATAGTAGTTACCTCAGAGTTATTGGGAGATTTTTTGAACTAGTTAATGTGCATAGCAGCCCTTAGAACCAGGCCTGGAACACAGTAAATACTCAACAAATTTTAGTTACTATCATTATCACCATGTCCACAGCTGTATTCCTACTTGCCCAAGGACCTTGATTCTTTCCAACTACCACTCCCACACACACACCCCTGCCCAAAGATTCCAGAATCTCTAAGAGGCATAGCTGGAGTAGTAAAACAACATGGTGAAAATACTACATTCCTGTTATTGCCTTCTTCCCCATCTCTTCAGAAACTCAAAGAGTATGTAACCAACATACAGACACTAGCAGGCCAGGCAGGGCTAACTTCCAACTGCCCCCCCCAGTATGGTGTGACAGATGCTGCCAGATGTCATGCAAGGAGCTTAAACCTATTAGTCACTATAACCTAAATGGAATGTAATTAACTCTATAATTTTGAGCTATGCAATTTTAAGTCCAATCTAAGCATGATTCATAAAGCCCTCTGTGATCTGGCCCCTGCTGACCTCTCACCACTCCCACCTTCCTACTGACCCCACTGTTTTGCTCCAGACATTCAAAAGTACTGTTTCCAGTATAAGGCATGTTCTCTCACACCTCTGAGCATGCTGTTCTCACCACTTAGCACTCCCTTCTGTCTTCTGACTGGCTGGCTAAATCCTGCTTACTCTACAGGTCTCCAGTTCATCAGTCCTTGCTCTACAAAACTTTCCCGACAGTTGTAAGCACACTCTTAGTTTCTATTAAACTTTGTTGGGTTCCTCCCTTTCTCGTGCAGCTAAGCTACCCACAGTTCATAACACAACTTATAATCCCTGTCTGTGCAAGACCCTGACTTTGGCTCAGTCCCTGATTTCTACTTCCATTATCTTCCCTACAGTGAGCATGTACTCCTAAGTAACACACATGTATATACAGGACAAACTGGCACAACATAGGTACTCAAGAAAGGTTTGTTGAATGAGTTAATAAACTAAAGTGGGGAAGAGAGGAGAAACTGATGTTTTGTTCTTACTATTCTTCCAACCCAGAACTTCATTCCTCCTTCCCCACATTATCCATCAGGACAATGAGAACAATAAAAGCTAACTTGTACTGCTCTTCATAGGTGCTAGGTATAATGCCAGATACTTTATAAGGATTATTTCATCTGATCCGCCCAACAATGCTGTAAGACAAATAAGAAAACTAGAGCTCAGAGAGGGAACTGCCCAAGATAATGAGTTGGCAGCTAGGATTTTAACCCAGGTAAACCACATTTAAAGCTGGCACTGAACCACTAGATTATGCCACACTGTCTCTCTGATGTCCCTGTCCATTAAGGCTGACCTGCCATAAATGCCCATCATTCTAAGACCTGGGCCCTGCCTTATGATGGCATTTGACTTCCTAGGCTATCGGCTGGGGACTGAAGAGTATCTTATATCCTCTTCTACCCACATTTCCACCTACCGCTTCTTGGCAATTTCATTCTGTCGCTTCACCTTCTCTTCCTCAAACTCCCGGATGTTGCGCACTCCAATCTCCCTACAAAACTCTTCAAACACCTCATCCTCTACCTGCAGGGAGAAGCAAGGGAAGGCAAAGTCCCTCTGAGTCAGAGTGCTGTCAGTCTCAGTCCTACCCTGCTGCACATGCTGGCATGGCTCATCCCCTATCAACCTGGTTCATCTTCTCCTTCAAGTCTTTCATTTCCCTCTCTCGGCTCTGGATGATCCTCTTGATATCATTAATGCGAGGCCCAAAGTTGGCTAGCTCACTCTCCAGCTTGGACTTTTCCTGTAGGAAACAGGGTTGAGAGGGCAAAAGAGACCAGGATCCTTGGAGGAAAAGAACCACCCCAAGTGCATTGGCCTCATGGATAGGAAGGGCTAGTTCACATTCTGAGAGAATGTGACTTAGTACTGCCTCAGTCAGGGTGCCATCATCTCCCACTGGAACCATCACATGACTTCTGCCCCAGCCTCCAATTAACCAGCTTTTAATCCACAGGGCTGGGCACATGGTAAACAGCATTACTTACAGGTCCACGCTCCCTTATCTATAACCCTTGGAATTCAGGTTTTAGAAAAAGGCAAAATGGTATGTATACTATACACTGCATAGTATCTCCAGAGTGGTGTGGGGAAGCACCCCAAAATTAAAAACATTAATACACCTAGAAGAGTATCCCCACCCACAGGGATTGAAATGCCTATAGCTCACTTTCAATTCACTTTCAGAAGAAACCCAAATATTTGCTGAATGAATCATTCTAATAATAGCACCTAACATTTACTGAGCACTTACTGGGCATGAAGAATCAGTCTAAGCACTTTACATGTACAAACTCATTCAATCTTTGCAACAATCTATAAAGCAGGTATTATTCTAACTCCCATTTTACAGACAGAGACAAAAAAACTGACACTGACAGGCTAAACAATTTGCCTCATATCATACAGAGTCAAGATCTGAACCCCTGACTGACTCTGCCATGCTTGGTTCTCTGGAGCAGGCCAGGAGGTGAGATGGACATCAGACAAGTCCCCCACTCCCAGAGAAACCTTGGCTGGGAATGTGAGGATTGTCTCTGGAGGACAGTGCTGAAGGCCAGACCCCACCTGCAGATTCAGGGCTAGATGTCTTGTCTTGGTCTGTTCTAGGTCACTCTGTGAGTACTTAAGCCGCATCTGCAGTCCATGGGCCTGAGACTGAACCTGTCGTAGCTCTGCTTCTTTTCGCTTTGCCTTCATTTGCTCCTGAAGTGGACAAGAAGGGCTAGGTAGTCAGGTGACCAGACAGCCTGGGCTTGGGACCCCAAGTCCTAGGGATAGCACTGCCAGTGGCTTACTTTCAGCTCCTCCGTCAACCGCTCCTTCTTCTCTTTCAACTTGTCTACCGCCTTCTCATCCCAACGCCGCGCCTTGGCCTTCAGGTCACTAGCCCCACCAGAGATCACTCCTGACTTCTGGAACAGGGTGCCATCCAGTGCCACTGTCTACACAGTGGAGAGGAGAGAGGAGAAGGGGACAAGCTGGACAGAGGCATCTCTAATACTAAGTCTGTCTAGCTCCACTGTGAGCAGGGGGATCCCTACCTTGTGGCGCTGGTGGCCCCCAAAGGCAATGCGGCGGGCATCCTCCACGTTGTCACAGACGAGGGCATTCCCACAAGCGTACTGCAGGGCCTTTTTGATGTGAGGTGGCTCATACCGAATCACATCAATCACCAGCTTGGCCCCCTTCAGCTCCCGGAGTTTTTCATCTGTAGGTTTCACCTGTGGGAAGACGTCCAGTTAGTGGCAGAATATGGGAGGCCAGAAGGAAGGACCCCCTCCCACGGTCTTGACCCCATCCCCACCAGCCTCACCTCCAGGTAGTCAAGAGGCAAGAAGGTCTCGGGTTCACCACGCTGCTCCTTGATATACTGAATGCAGTCCCGGCCTGTCTTCTCTGAGTCCACAATAATGGCATCCATGTTCTTGCCCAAAACCTTGGTCACAGCAATCTGATACTTCTTTTGTGTTGGCTGGCAGAGGTCAATGAGGCGGCCGTACTGAGGAAAGTCAGAAGAGAAAACTAAAGTATGAGGCTTTTGGGAACTGGCTGAGGAACCTGAATTCCCAGCTTGGAAGACCAGATCTGTATGAGGAACATAGCCCTCATGCTATGAAAGAAAAACCTACTCTGGCCTCAAAGCAACAACTTCAGGCAGTCATGTCGCAATCCAAAATCACCTTTTTAAACCTCACTTTTACCATATCAGGACCACTGCTACCCCAGGCACTATGCCATATACATTAGTTCAAATTCTCACATGCATCCAGCAAAATAAATCTTTTTTCCAGCTCACTTTCCCACACCCCTCAAACCAATCATGGTTCCCTAACAACTATCAGACAAATGGTAAGATCTTCAAGGGCAGCGACTGAGCCTAATTCATCTTTATAAACTCCTCAGCGGTATCTAGACAAGAAATCATGAAATATTTGTAGAACCAAATTAAGTTGAACCCAGGAATGGGATTATAGCAAGAGGGATAATATTCAGGGAACCTGGAAACTCAGGATTTGGTTCAAGAGGCCAAGAGATCTGATAAAACCTAGGATGTCCCTACATGTAAACAGGCCAGTTGGTACTTGCCAGGGGAGCTCATATCAAAGCTTGCACAGAGTTACTTCCTGGGAGGCTAATCCATGGCCCCTCCCCCTTCCAAAGGGCTCTCTAGTTTCCCCACCTCCCACAGAGGAGTGGGTATAGCAAGACAAAGCACTCAGGAAGGTACAACTGGTGTGATGAAAGGAACATGAGGCTAAGAGTCAGAACAAGTTGGGTCTGAATTGCAGTTCTTTCACTTATAAGATGTGCGGTTTGGGGCAAGTCATTTAACTTGCAAACCTCACAGGGCTGCTGAGAAAATTATCTGACAGTGAGTGGTGAAGAGTAAGTGCTCAAGAAATGAGTCCCCTCTCCACTCTTACCACAGACCCAGGATACAGGCGCTTGATGCTTTCCATAATCTCTGCCTTTCGCTGCTGGCGACTGCTTTCCTGGCGATCAATGCGGGCATCCCCGAGCTGCTCCATCACCTGGTTCAGCTCTTTATTGATCTCATCAATTCGCCGCTTGGCCATCTCCACCTCCTCTGTCAGCTCCCCTTCTAGCTTCTTCTGCTCCTCTAGGGACTGCCTACAAAGTGAGGGAACACAGGGATTACCCTGGTTGGTTAGGAAATGTTCCTGGCTAACAGGAATTCTGGGGTTCCCATCCAGGGAGGGGCAGGACAGGGAGCGTTCACAAGAACAGGCCTGGAAGCAGAAGGGAAGATTGCAGAGCCACATACTTGCTAGTCATGATGTATTCCTCCAGTTTCTCAATCCGCTTCTGATTCTCTTCAATCTCCCGCAGCTTTTGCTTGATCTTGGCCTGGAAGAGAAACAAATACACCTTACCACCAGGGACTGAGCAAGTTAACTCCAAGACCATGGGGCCTTGGCTTACACCCACTATGTGCCCACTCACCCAAGAGCCTAACAGTCCAGGACAATCTGTCACTAATGCAGGAGGCCTATTAAAAAGCAGACACACAGACGGTGTTCAGGGTGACTCTTAACTGATGGGGCCTCCCAGGGACCTATGAGATGCTGACACAGAGTTCTCCCCAGCCTGAGCTAAACTTCCTCACCAATCAGTGAGGCTCAAACCGAGGCAAAGCTTAGCTTTCTGGGCCTTTCTACACCTGTTTTCTCATCTGTAAAATGCAGGCAACCTCCACTTACATATTAAGTGCTTAATATAGGGTAGCTATTAATATTAATGCCTACCACCTTGTTTTAAATACTTAGAAGAAGTGCTTAGCAGAATGCCTGGAACACTGTGGATTCCTGGGGCACTATAACAACTTTCTCTTATTGTTATTGTTTTACTATTATTGCTATTAGGCAATAAGTGAAGTACACATGGTAAGAGTGTGAGCTTTAGAGCTAGACTGCTCAGGTTCATATCCTTGCACCACTTAGTGATGTGACCTTAGGCAAATTATTTTACTTCTGTGTTTTAGATTCCTCATTTGGAAAATGAGGGATTAAATCAGTAAATACTTGTAAAGTACAGTGCCTAGCACACAGTTGACTGCTCACCAGGTGTTAGGTATATGTCATTACTGTTAGGACTATCATTACCTCCTTTTCTCTGGGCCATCTTCCCTAATCTTATAACACATGCCCACCTCTGTCTCTACTTTCTTCCGCTCTTCCAGATCCAGCCGGTCCTGGTCAGCTTTCTGGTCTCTATTAAACTTCTCCAGCTCCTGAGCCAGGGTAGCTGCTCTCTTGCTGGCTTCTTCTTTCAACCGGTGGTATTTCTTCACCTGTTAGAGATAGAGAAGGTGGTCAGGGATGACCAAGCCAGTCTGTTCAGCCCAGTGTTTTCCCCACCCCCTCAATCCTGCCAGAACTTACTTGATTCTCCTCCAGAGTCAAGTCTCTGCCTTGACTCTGACTCTCCTCTTCCATCCGTTCCTCAAACTCCTGCCGGGCTTTCTCCACCGACAGCATCTCCTTTTCCAACTCATCCATGTCACCTTTACGCTTCTTATAATGCTTCTGAGCATTCTGTAGAGACTTCTTGGCTGCTTCCAGCTTCTTGATTTTGTGGGAGGTATTCTCCTTGGCTTTGATGTATTGAGGCCGCTTCTGGTTCAGTTCTGAGTCCTTCTCTCTTATGGCAGAGGGAAGGGGGAAAACCAGTTAGCACCATGGGAGAAGGGAGGGTTCCCAGGTTTTTTCCTCAGAGAAATGGGGACCTGAGCCCTGCCAGCCAGCCTCAGGGAACTGCCTAAAAGAATAAGGGCTGATATCCCACAGATCCTCAGCCAAGGGGCAATCTGACTAGTCCCTGGAATGGGTGGCTTCAGCCACTCCTAAGGTAAAGCTACCACCCCGGCTCAACTCTAGCCAAGCCAGACCCCTCAGTAACAACTCCCAAGCACACCCTGTGTTCACTTAGTTGTCTCTCATCCTATCTAACCCTTTCAAATTCCTGTCCTTTAAATGTCTTGCTCCAATTTTCTTCTTCTAGGAAAGCACTCCCAGACACTCCGGTAGATGGGCCTCCCATCACTACCTCTTGCTTGGCAAGGCCACCACCCTTTCAAGTCCTCAGTCTTCCAAATATGAACTACCCAAAGTCTGTGTAGTTAAATACTCTAATTGTCTAAAATGCATGTCAAGAAATGTGCCTGGTTCTGGCCAAAGCAAATCAAGGGAAAGAGAGAAAACAAGTATGGGCAATGGACTGCCTCTAGGCTCAGAGGATCCCTAGGAAGCAGTACAATCTTTTGGTTTCCCGCCCAGGCCTGCCTCTTACTTGATCTCCTTCTCAATCTGCTGCTGCTCCCTCATCATTTTGCCCAGTTCCTTCTTCTTCTCCTTCAGCTCATCTTCTACCTTGTCCATACGCTTCTTGTCCTTCTCGATCTCCTTGTTCTTAGAGGCCAGTTCCTTATTGAGCTTCTCAATTTCCACTTCATTATGATAAAGCTTAAAGAGCTGCAGCTGAACCTGAGCTCGCACTACCTCATCCTTCAGGCGCTGGTAGCGGTCAGCCTGTGCAAATAGGGACATAGATGCAGGGGTGCATCAGTAAGGCACTGCCCTCATCCTGGCCCCTCAGAACCCAAAGCTAGCCCACCTACCTCTTCTTTTTCCTGTTTGGCCTCTTTGCGCTCAGCTGCGATGTTTTTTTTACGATGATAATTAAACTGAGTGTCCTCTTCAGCCTTTACCATTTCCTTCTTTCGCTTGTCATATTCCTGGGCCAGCTCCCCAGAGCGACTGATCTCTTCAAATAGAGCTGTCCTCTCTTTAGGGTTCTTCATGGCAATAGATTCCACAGCACCCTAGTAAAGGTCAAAACACTCTCCCCACTTAGACGCTAGCCAGCTCTGTTCCCCCTACCCACTCCCACCCAATCATTCAGAAAAAGTTCACTGACTCTCCCACTGCATGCCACATTTCACATTGGGCTTTGAGGACACAATCCTTGCCTTTTGAGGTGCATGGGGAGCAGAAGAGATGGAAGCAAAGACAACACCATGTGTTACATGCAGTGACAGAAGCAGCACAGAAGGAGGACTAAATGAAGCGTGGGGGCAGGAGACTGGCAGGCTTCCCAAAGTTGACAACTAAACTGAGTTGGAAGATAGGGAAGAACTAACCAAGAAAGTAAGAGAGAAGAGGTTATCCCATGGAGAGGAAAATTAATATGCAAAGGCCTGCAGGCCAAAGAAAGCAGGTGAATTTGAGGAGCTGTAGATGATTTAATTAGGCTGCAACAAGGCTGGAGGGGAAGAATATTGGTAAATGAGGCTAGTGAGGTGGGCAAGAACCAAAGGATGATGTGTCCTGAATGACAGGAGCTTGGATTTCATGCTAAGGCAATGGTTCTCAAACTTTTAGTGTGCATTATAATGCCTGGGGAACTTGGTAAAACACCAATTGCTGGGCCCCACCCCATAGCTCTGCATATCTAGGTCTAGGATTGGGTCTGAGAATGTGCATTTCTAATATATCTGTACCCAGTTGTGCTGATTTGGAGACTGCAAAGAACTACCGTTATAAGGCAATGAGAAGTCACTGAAATGTTTTAAGGAGAGAAAGGGAAGAAGGTTTGTGTGCTCATAAGATGAAGCTGGCCTAGGAGATGAACTGGAAGGTGCCAGACTGGAGGCAGGAAGCCCAGTGAGGAAGCTGTTTCATTAGTTCACGGGAGAGATGATGTAGCCAGAGATAGAGAAGGCCCAGTGGGGATGGAACAAGAGTTGGCAAAAAGCAGATAGCCAATAATTATTTTAAAAAATGCCCACCTGGAAAACGAGGAAGTTACGAGCTTTGATGAGAATGCCCAACTTCTCTAATTCCTCACTGTACTCATGTAGCTGGACCACTTTGTTGTTGATCTTGTACTCAGAGGAACCCCCTATGAGACAGTGCATGAGTCAGCCAAGGATCAGGCTTCCCTCCTACCTCAGCCAACTAGTCTAGCCACCTCCCAGGACCCAAGGAGAGCCTTCTGACCAGCCTCACCCACCAACAATGACACGGGCAAAGGTGCGGTCCTCAGCACCCTCCTCAGAGTAGACCATGCTGACAAAGGCCCGGTTGGCAGCTGGCTTGCCCACAGGAGCTCCATGGATCAGGTCCCTCAGGGTCTTTACCCGCAGGTTGCTGGTTTTCTCACCCAACACAAAGCTGATGGCATCCATGAGATTTGACTTACCTAAGGGAGGAGGGGACAACACAGAAGAGGGAAATCAGGAATAAGGGGAAAAGAAAAAGAATAAAGGGGAAATTGAGAGGAATAGGAATGTTCCTAAGCTCTCAGTACTCAGTCCCTGTAAAGACTGAGCCCAACCAAAGCCCTGGGTCAAAGGCTTAGAAAAACAGTCCCTCTACCATTATTACTTAGAGCAGTCAAAGACTAGAACTCTGTCTAAGGAAATGGTACAGTCACAAAATGGATTGTTCTACAACCTTCAGTGACATGGGGAAATGTCTACAACAGGAGAAACAAAGCAAGATATAAAACTCCATATAGTTTGATCTCAACCAAGTTTAAAAAACAAAACAAAACAGGGCTGAGGAAAGGGGGAAATGGGGAGTTGTTTACTGGGTACTGAGTTTCAGCTTTGCAAGATGAAAAAGTTCAGATCAGTTGTACAACAATGTAAGTACACTTAACACTACTGAACTATACACCTAACAATGGTTAAGATGGTAAATTTCATGTTGTGTATTTTACCATAATTTTTTAAAAGGTATATTCCTTTTATGATACAATATAAAGCACACAGCATCATCAATGAAGTATCTTGCCAAAAACATTTAACCTGAATCTAAACAAGCCTTTAGACCTACCTTCCAGTTTACAGGAAATACGGCAGTTAGAGGAACATGGTAAATGACACCATGAGGAAACCTTAAGACAAACACAGAATGTGGAATATTCTACAAGACAACTGACTGGTCTTTTCAGAAAGTCAATGTGTAATTAGAAAGACTGGGAGAATATTCGAGAGCACAAGAGATTATTGAGACATAAGCAAAGGCAGTGTGTGAACTTTGATTGGATCCTATAGTTAAAAAAAAAGTCAAAAAGACATTTTGGGGAGCCATTAGGGAAGCTTGAGTATAAACTGGATAATTGATGGCATGAAGAAATTAGTTTTCTTAGGTGTTATAATGGTATATTGGTAATACAGGCGAATGATGATTTTAAGACATGAATGCTGAATCCCTTAAGGGTGAAATGCCATTAAGTCTGCAACTTACTTTCAAATGATTAAGCAAAACACACATACATGTTTGAAAATTTTCATAATAAAAATTTGGGGAGAGGAAAAAATACATGAAAATGAAAATAATGTAACAGTGGTTGCTTCCAGGAGGGAAAGTAGGTAACAAGTCAGGGAAGGGAGGGTGTCTTTTTACTGTACATCCTTTTGGATTTAAAAAAAATTTTATACCATGTACATGTATTGCTATTCAAATAAATAAAGAGTTCTTACAGCAAAAGTTATCTTTTCAGTAGTGGAGTCACAGTTCTAACTTTCCTCATTTTAGGCTCAAAAAAAAGAATATTTTTAAAATTCAGACTGGGGTTGGGGCTAGAAAAGTTTATCTACAAGTTCTAGCTCAATATTCTCCCCAAACATGTTATATAACCTTGAACTGAGGACCTGATTTCCAACACCTTTCTACCCAGCTATAAAACTGGCAACCCATGCCATGTCCTTCCACAGAGGCCATACAAAACAGTGATTAAGACTTGGGTTCTAGTCCAATAGCTCAGGTTCTAATCTTAGTTTCACTACTTCTTAGCTGACTTTCCATTCCCTTCACCTGGAAAATGTGAAAAACCATGACTCGTAGGTAAAGCATCTAAAGCAATGTTTGGCACATAGTTCTCTGTTAGAGTGGCAGGCGCACAGGTTTTGAAGTATAACAGGCATGGGTTCTAACCCTGGCTCTAAGAATCAGTTAGTATGCAAGTGATCACAACCCTTTGTGCTTCAGTCTTCTCAGCTATAAAAGAAAGGTAATAGTTTCTCCCTCCTAGGGTTGAGAATTTAAATGTAAAGAGTCCCAATAAATAAAGTACTTGACACACAGCAGGTGCTCAATAAATGACAGTCCTTTCAAAACACAAATCTGAACTCAGCTTTGTCTCCATCATCTCAGCAGGAACTAGCACATCATGCAGATCAGGAGTCAGCCTTTCCGGCACCATTTCCAACCTTTGTGCTTCTCCCATGCTCTTCAGGGATGGTAAGAACACCTCACAAAACATCTTGCCATCATTCAATATTGTAAACATTTTTATAACATGTATTATGAGTGTCTTCTTTGGACCACTCGTAGCATAGACAAGTGATGAAGATACAAAAATATATACCATGAATACAAGTAAATAAACGTTAATGCGTACCAAGTATCTACTATATGCCAGAAAGGAAGAGCAATTCCCTAAGGGGAATCAAGAATGGCTTGTGGACACAGACACTGAAGAATGGGGGTTGGGGGGGAAGAGAGTGAAACCAAGGGCCTTTTTGGAACAGCTAGGTATACAAATCTACCCATGCTGAGGGGACTGAATGCAAAAATGTGTATCATGGCTCTTTCCACGGGGACCACCATACCAAAATCCCAAGAAACTGGAGAACACCAAGCATTAGTCCTCTAGGTCAGTGGTTCTAAAAGGATGTGGGGGATGGTAATTCCCCCCCACCAACCCCCACCCCACCAGGGGACATTTGGTAATGTCTGGAGGCATTTTTCATTGTCACACTTGGGGGGGTAGGAGTGCTGTCCTCTAGCAAATAGAAGCCAAGGATGCCACTAGTCACCCTGTAATGTACGGGATGGAAACCACAGCAAAGAATTATCCTGCAGGAAATGTCAGTAGTGCCACTGTTCAGTAACCCCACTCTACAAAGAAAGCCAAACCCAAGTAAGACTCCAGGGAAGGTCCTCAGTTTGAGCTGCTTCAGCAAGGGCAGCCCCTCAGGCTAGGAAATGATTTAGCTTGAACACCTCTGGGGTGGAGGATTCCAATCAACCTGCTTGTGGAGGTAGATGGGAGGAATCCATGGTCTATGAAGGTGGATTGGTCTATCTTCATTTAGAGATGTAGAATTAAAAGACGAAATAGAGGCTTTTTCTGACCAACTTTTTTTCTTCCAGTTTTACTGAGATATAACTGGCATAAAGCATTGTATTTATTTCACACATACAAGATAATGGTTCCATATTTGTAAATATTGAGAAATAATTCCCACAGTTAGTTTAGTTAACATCCATCAACTCACATAAACACAGTTACGTTTTTTTCTTATGATGAGAACTTTTAAGACCTATTCTAAGCACTTTCAAATATACATTACGGTACTGTTAACTACGGACCACTCCTAAAGGCGCCCAAAGACTCAAGTCACTCTATCACAGCAACCTAATTTCCTGCATAGCACTTAGCACAGCTAAAAAATGAAATCATTTCCTCCTTTATTATCGTCTTTCCCCTCTGGAATGGAAGTTCCCTGAAAACATGGCTTACTCTATTTCTCCGCTATTGCCCTAGCACCTTGAGTAACTCCTTATGAAACAGTAAACATACAACAAATTTGGCAAACGAATGAGTTCTGTCTCTTAACGGTTTCAGTATTGGCAAAGGGGTGCGTTCTAGGAATCCCCACCTCTGAGATAGGACTGAAATTCAAAACTGCCGCCTCCCCAAAGAGTAAAGAAAGGAAGAATTGGAGCGTACCAATGCTAGACAGGAGGGGGAGTTGTCTGAGGCAGAAGTGTACCGTTTGGGACCGGAGCCATGGAAGGGCTACCAGCGGTCCCACATCTTCCGGAGGGTTCAAACAAGGCGGGGAAGCCGGAAGGAACCACCTGGTCTGGCGGGGTATCTGAGCTGCCAGTGGCCGGCAGCTGGCTCGGAACGCGCCACTTTTGGCGGGAGGGGACAGTGGGCGGGGTAACCTACAGTTGGGCCAGTACCACTGCAGCCCGAGCGGAGTCTCCCAAACAGCGGGCAACTGACACCTGGGGAAGAGGTTCAACTCAGGCCACCCGAACGGGGAGAGCAAGTTCCCGCCGAGCGCCCTCAGGAGGACATGGAACCTGTTAGGTTTCGTGACATTTCAGGTTGCACGGGCTGGGCTGTACTACTCTGCTGCCGGATAGGGGATCCAGGCTGGGACGGGTGCAGGGCCGCAGCGGGTTTATCTCACCAGAGCCATTGGGTCCAATGATGGCAGTGAATCTCTGAAACGGTCCGATAATCTGTCGACCCTTGTACGACTTAAAGTTCTCGATCTCAATCAGTTTCAGGAAACCCATGACGGCAGCAGCACCAGCAGGGGTACGAGAGGCCGCGCCGCCCGCCCGGGAACTGGGACAGCCCGCGCGGGAAATACCGCAGTGCAGGCCGGGCGTGCAGCAAACCTCGCGAGAATAAGTTCAGGCGGAACGGAACTTCCTGCTTCCGGCGCGAGCGGGAACCATGGGTGGGGCCCTCCGGCGGGCAAGAAGGTTTTGTTGATCCGTTGCCAGGGCACGAGTTTTTGAGGAGTTCGGATTGTGCTGCCCAGTTCTTTTGTTGCGTGTTCAGAAACAGCTGCCCTAGCCCACCGAGTCGGAGAGGAGGCGGTTCCTGGAGGATTCTGCAGCTTTGGGATCCGAGGAAGCAGGCGGGACCGGAACCCAAGCTGGCTAAGACGAATCAGAAGTCACCGCAGGGTTATGCCCTAGGGCAAGAGGAAGGTGGGAGCTCGGCTGTGACTTTAGCGTGGCCGGCCGGAAGGCTCAGACAGGAACGGTGTCAGGAATTTGAAGGACCCCGGGGAGCCGAGGGCTGTACGGGCAGGAGGGGCCAGCGGGAGGATTCAGTATTAGGTGAGCTCAGACCTTGCTGAGGGTGGAGTGGGGTAGAGATACAGGTGGGATGGGGTGGGGGTGGGGGAGGAAGGTAGGGTGTGAATGGAGATGAGGCTATTCTGGAGCGACAGGAATGCAGGCTAAGGAAAGCTATGGCCAGTAGTACTGCCCCTATTCCCTGCCTGCCTCCGGTTCCTCCACGCAGAGTTCAGAGACTATCGCGATAGCCCAAGAATAGTCTTGGACCTGAGCCAATCCGGGAGCTTCAAAATTGGGGCTCCTTGCTGAGAAAGGAATTTTGTGTGAATCTGAGAGTCAGCGTCCATAAGCCAGTGCTCTCCACCTCTGCCCTTTCTTCCCTTCTGCGCACTTTCTCCCTCTCTCTTTTCTTGCCTCAATCCCTATCCCATTACTTGACATCCCACTGCCCCATCCCTTGCTTCCCCCTTCCTGTTCTCTCTCTGCTTACCATCCTCCACCCCATCAACCTCCCTGTTGCCCCTCTTCCTTTCTCCTCCTCTGCCCCCCGACTCTGCCCTCTCCGTCCCTTTCCCCTTCCTGTTTCCCATCCTTTCTATCCCTCTCCTCCATTCCCTCATTCCCCTATCACCCTATACCTGCTAATACTAAGGCCATGGCCTCAGCAGTCCAAGAAACTTAAAATGTTTGTGGAATCTTTCCCTTCAGTGACTTTGCATTGTGGTGACAGATGGAATGAGTAGGCTGGGTTTGGTGTTATACTTAGACGTGGAAAGGGTTTGGTGGTTGTCATAGCCATTATTATAGCTATTTTTAAAATGTTGTCTGGAGGATGGGAAGAGTCTTAAAGTCTCAGGACAAGTCCAGGAAAGTGAGAAAGCTTGGTTGATGGAATCTAGTAGAGGATCCATAAATGAATTCAGCTGGGAGAAACAGTCACAATCAGGCTGAGGGAATAAAATGACCAAAGGACAGCAATCTCATACAATTAACAGGAGCTATATTACTCCATTTAAAAAGATGAGATGGGGCTTAGAAGACAAAAGTCAAACTGCATCCTCACCACACACCATATACAAAGTGCAATTTCAAATAAATTAGAAACTTAAAAAGGCAAAACTTTAGAAATTTTAGAAGAATACATAGGGGAGTATCTTTACAACCTCAGGATGTCTTAAATAATGAAGGTTTCTAAGCATAAAGAAGAAGATTGGTAAATGTGACTACATTCAAATTCATCCAAATTGTAACATAAAAAAGTGAAAACAAATAAGTGCACACAAGAAGCTTCTAATATATTGATACTGTTCTATTTTATGGGTTCTGCAGAGGGTTCACAGGTGTTCACTTTGTTGTATTGCTTCCTAACATAAGTGTGTTAATCATGTTCCTTGTATGTGTCAATTGTTACCATAAAATTGCCACAAAGTAAGTCAAGTAAAAAGGCAAACCACAGATGGGAGATATTTGCCACATGTAAACTAAGAAATAACTAGTGTGTGAAATACAGAAGTAACTCCTAAACTTAATAAGAAAAGGAACAACATAATTTTTAAATAAATGAACATAGGACATGAATGGGCACTTTACAAAAGAGTAATCAAAAATGGCCAAAACACACATGAAAAGATGTGCAACCTCATCAGCAATAAGGAAAATTGCAATTAAAACTGATAATTACAATTTCATACCCACAAATTGGCAAAAACTAAAAAAATCTGTAATACCAAAGTTCTGGTAAGGACGTGGAGTGACTGGAGTTTTTATACACCACAGTGGAAGTGTTAATTGGCACAGTCATCTCCTTGAAAAACAACTTAGCATTATCTTGTGAAGTTAAATACACTTAGCCCTATGAGCCAGCACTTCCACTCCTAGGTATAAGCTAGAAAAACTTTCCTGCCTGCATATATATCTCTTTTAAAAATCTGCAGGTTCTTCCTCCCTCTTTTTCTCTTGTAATTAAAAAAAATAAGGTGGCTTGTTTGTCCTTCAGAATCCTAGTCTCTTGAACCCACTTCAGTACGGCTTTCATCCCCACACACCAAAAATGTGCTTGTCAAGGTCATCGGCAACCCTCATGTTTCTAAGTCAGCCGGTTCTCAGTCCCCATCTTAACACATCAGTTGCTCACTCCTCCCAAAAGCAGTTTCTTCACTTGGCTTCTCTGAGCCCACACTCCTCCTCTGCCAAAGACTACTCCACCTTAGCCTCCAGTGCTAGCCCAGCCTCTCCCCGGCTACCCTGGGGCATTCTTATCCATCTATACTCACTCCCTCATAGCTTTAGATGCCTTTGTATTGGTCAGGATAAACTAAATTATGCTGAAATTGTAGGATCTGAAGAATCAAAAGTTAGCATAAGTACAGCCATCTTAAAGGCTTAAATACCACCCCCTAACCTAGAAGGAGGAAAATTATTAGAATCTTGAAAAACAAGTTAGTCAGCCAGTGTTAAATGTAGTGACCTTTAGTTAGCTGACCTCAAATCAGTTAATCATACACACCAAGCTTATCTTGCTAGAACCACCCTAAACATTCCGAAGGTAATCTTATCTAACCAGACCCCAGGATGTAGCCCCAGCCAAAGATTTATGTGTCTATGAAAAAACACTGTATTGTGATTGTGGAAAATGTTGCCCCCTTTGAAAATGCTATAAAACCTTCTGGCTTTGTGTGCTCAGAGTCCTTGTTGAGACCAGCTGCTTCGGGCTAACTTGGACCCCAGCTAGCTGGTTCCTGAATAAATTCCTCTTGCTTATTGCATCAAGAGACGCCTTCCGTGTGTGATTTGGGGCGGCGTCCTTCTCTGGGAGAAACCAACAAAATTACAAAGAATCCCCAAATCTCAACAGCTTAGGAAAACTTATTTCTCATTCATGATTCTTGTCTTGTGGGTTGGCTACATCTCTGCTCTATGTCATCATTCCAGGACAGAGGCTGGAGGAGCAGCCCTTACCTGGGACATTGTCAGCCTCATGGCAGAGAGTGAAGAGAAAACCGGGCCATCACATAATAGCTCTTAGTTCTGCTTGGGAATGGCATGTGTCAGCTCTCGCATAGCAGAGGGCAAAGCAAATTACGTGGCTAATCTTGAGGGCAATGAGATAAGGATTATACAGAAGGTATAATCCTGTAGAGAGAAGCAGCATATCTTTTTGAATAATAAAATTTGCCATATCACCTGTGTGCTATCAACGGATATCTAATAGGCCTCTCAAACTCAACACTTTCAAAACTCATCTGATCCTTCCTCCACCCCATACTGTTCTCCCCACAGAAACTGTTTAGTTGATAGCAAATTAATCCCTCTGATATCCCCATCGCAAATCCTTGAAGTCATTCTTGACACTGCTCTCACACCACACATCTAATCCATCAGGATTTCCTGTCAGCTCTGCCTTCAAAATATATCCAGAATCTGACCACTTCTCACTACTTCTGCTGCTATTAACCCAGTGTGAGTCACCATCATCCCCTGCCTGGATGACTGCAATAGGCTCCTTTCTGCTCTCCCTACTTCTAGGAGGGAGACTGGCTTCTGCTCCCCCAAATCTATTCTTAATACAGCAGCCAGAGTGATATTTAAAAATCAAGAGGCAGAATGTCACTCTCACTGTTCAAAACCTTCCAGTAGCTGCCCATTTCTCTCAGAGTAAAAGCCAGAGCATTTTACAATGGTCTGCAAAGTCCTATATGCTCTCCCTGCACCCGACCCCATAATCTCTCTAATGTTATTTCCTACCTACCTCTCCTTCACTCACTCGCCTCCCTAGTGTTCCTAGAATGCATGCCCCTTGTGTCCACCTTAAAGCCTTTGACTTGTTCCCCCTGTTTGGAGTGCTGTCCTTCTAGATACCTGCACTGGTGTCTCCCACATCTTCAAGTGTTTGCTCAAATATTACCTTCTCGGTTATGCCTTCCCTAACTTCCGTATTTAAAATTGCAACACTTCCCCTTGGCATTTCCATAGCACTCAACATCTTCTTAGAAACTTACTGAAATAGGGAAAACTGCATAGAGCATAATTGGAAAGGGAATGTTGTGAGACTTGGATGAGTAAGCAGGGGTCACATCATGAAGACCTTTACAAATCTGGCAAAGGAGATGGACCTGTATCTTGTGAACACTGGGGAATCATTGGCTTTAAGGCTGCTTTTAATGGTTTTAAGCTGAGATGTGCCATGGTCAGATTTGCTTTCAGAAAAATCACTCTGGTAAGCCAGTGCAGAGAAAGAAGTGGAGAGGCTAACACCAGAGAAATGGGGGCCAGTGAGACTCCTGGGAATATTGTCTGGCACCCGATTTTAAGGCCTGAATTAGGTGGTGACAGCAGAGATGGAGGACACAGGTATGAAATATATCAGGAAGTAAAATCAGTAGAAATCAATAACTGGTGAGATACTGTGGGGAGAAAGGGACGGGTGTGGGAGTGGGGTCAAAAATGATGGTCAGCACTCATCAGCCATTCCACCTCACCCTTGCTCCAGATGTAAAAGGTAGATCTGTCACCAGATCCTAAGGAGTTGGCAGCCGTTGAGGCTGGAAGAAATCGAGAAAAGGAGCTACAGAGCCCATTCTTTGATGTACGGACCCGAGTCATGGGGGTAAGTGGGCAGCAGAGACATTCTCAGGACCAGGGGCATTCACTGTTGCTGGTAAACAACCTAGCAGTGCCTGTTACAGCCCATCCCTGATACGAGCAGGTCCTAGGGCTGTAAAGGAAGGAGAGGGGGAGAAAGCACCCACCCCCAGGAATAGGAAGGGGGATGGGGGTGTAGGGGAGAAGGAGCTGGTGATAGCTGACTCTCCTCCAATCAACTCTGGGCCAGGTGGCCTGGTTCTCAAGAGACAAGCAATATGGAGCCAAAAGAAGTCTAAAGAATATTTGTTATTGCATATGCCTAAACTCTGGAAGGCTGCATAAGAAACTGTTAACCCAGCTGAGGGACAGAGATGGGAGGGACAGTTACTCTTCACTAACCTATTCCCTTTTGCATCATTTTGAAGTGTTTCAAATTAATTATAATCAAAATAAAGAGAAAATATTGATAGTTTGAGAAAACAGATTGCTGGGTGGGTGGATAGAGGGGGGAATGCAGCATGGTGTTCTGGAAGAGATACCCTACCTATGCTCACGGACCAGGTCTGCTGTTTACTAGACAGGTGGCTTCAGATGAGTCACTTCTCTGAGTTCCAAGCTCCTCCTCGATAAAATGAGGCTAAATAAAGGAAGTGTTGAGGCTAATACTACCATATGGTGGTGGCTCTGGAAACCAGATCACAGTGCCTGACAAGTAAATAGCTGGCTGAGGGATGAGTGGTGTGATTGAAATCCAGTTGGCAAGCATTTCCTCAAGGCTGGCTCTGTGCCAAGCCCTGGGTTGAGCAATAGGGATACAAGGCAGACGAAGGCCCAGTCTCTGCCCTTAAAGGACTCAGTCTGGTGGAGGAGACAACTGATGTATGCAAACTTCAATATAATGTGGACAGTAGATCCTAGATTCTATGGAAGTAGCACATGTATAAGGGGTCAGGAAGGTGAAACCTGAGCTAGTCTTGAAGGATAACTAAGAGTTCGGGTAAAAAGGGGAGGAAAGAGTGTTCCAAGTACAGGGAGCAGCTGGAGCAAAGACTGCCCACTTGGAACAACCTAACATGCAGGGAACTATAAGCACAGATCTCCTGAGCGTGGGACAAGGCGAGAGGGTACTGAGAAGGAGGCAGAGGCTAGACCATTGAGAGGCTTATAGACCATGCTCAGATGATGGAATGTTATCCAGTATAACATTCTATAGGGGATCTATAGGAGGATTTTGAAGCATATAAATTCTGAGCCTTTTGTGTTAGAGCATTCAAGGCCTGCTGCTGGGCCTCTCTCCTGATTGAGCTAATTTCTTTGGTATCAGGTGGGTGTTGAAGCCCTGAACAGCCAAGTGGAAGAGCGAAAGCTTCGGGAGGCAACAGAGTGGAGCAAGGAGGCAGGTTATGGTAAAAGCTGAAGGCCAGAGGCCAGCCAAGATGGGTAACATAAGGGCAGTTCTGCCTTGGAGTGGAGTCTAATGCCTGGGGTGTACGGGACTAACCAGATGGGCCTTGGGAGTACAGGCCATGTTGAGTGGGCTCTATCCCTCCCTTGGGGCCTTCTCCATGTCCCTGCCCACCACCCCGAGGTACCAACCAGGCACAGTATGATCTGGTAGCCCAGATGCTAGAAAAGGAACAGGCAGAATGGACATGTCGACTGGCCAAAAAACTCCAGGAGTTTTGAGAGCAGAAGCAGCAGCTGAAGAACGGGCATGAATTTGACCTTTGGGATTCAAACAGACTCTGAAAGGAGTTCCCAGCCCGTTTTGGTAACAACAATCCCCAGTGTGGCCTGGCCAGCCTGCAGTGCTTCTCTGGGGAGGACCTGGACAGAGCCACATGCCTGAGGATGCAGCAGGAGCAGTTTAGGTACATCCTGGAGAAGCAGCTGCAGGAACAACACCAAGCCAGAGTTGATGAGAAATGTGCAGGTAAGCAGCCAGGCCCTTCAGGCTGGGTCCTGAGGTTGGGCAGGGGTTTGTGCACAGCCTGGTGCAGCACCCAGGAGACCAGAACTGTGTGGGGAGGGCCAGTTACCCAAAGGGTCAATGCTGAAAGGTTAGACCTAGCAGACCCTGATCTCTCTGACTTCCTTCAGTAACTGACAGTGTGAGCACTGGTTCCCAATCAGTCTGATACTCCATTACCTGGAGGAAGTGCAGTGAAGACAGGCCTAACAGCTCTGCCACCTGCTAGCTGGTTTGGGCAAATGAATTTTCCTCTCTGTGCTTCAGTTTTTCTCATCTTTAAAAGGGGGATAATAATCCATGCCACATAGGGCTTGTATGAGAATGAAGTGAGACACTGCTTGAAAAGCACAAGCATCATTGCTCAATAACCAGCAGCTACTATTATTACTGTGACACTATCTGTGGCCACATCCTCCCCTTGCATTACAGTAAGCCCTTCAAGGGCAAAAATCATCTCTTACCTACTCAAACTGCTCACCTTTCAAATCACCCCTGTTAGAACACCCTGTTCTAACATGTACTTGACGTAGATGTAACTAATTCTGAAAGTATTTGTGGAATGTCTGTCTTTTCCCCAAAACGTCAACTTACTGAAGATGAACTACATCTCTCATTTCCACCCCTGAATCCCAGTTGCCTAGAATAGTGCTTGCCATGCTGTGAGGAGCTCAATAAATCATGCTGAATGAACCATTGCAGACCAAAGTAAACAAGACAGATGCCCTGCCCTCCAGGAGCCCACAGAATCATGCCTTCTGGAAAATCAGTTTAGACTGAAAGAAAAAGATACATGCACAAGTCATTCATCAGCAAATATTTATGCTTTAAAACCATTAGGTACTATGATGGGTGCTGTGATAGAGGTGTATCTAGGACATGGAGGAAACATCAATATAGGAGTGGCCAGTTTTCACAAGGAAACGGAGATGGTAGTGGGTGGCACAGGTCAGCTGTCAGGAACCCACTTGGGGAAGTTGGGTACAATTTTGCCAACGTGGGAAGAGGGAACAAGAAAAGGCCATTCTGGGTAGAGGGGGCAGCAAGAGGAAGAGCACAAGGGCTGTGAATGGTCAGGGGGTTTAGGATGCATGAGCAGTTTAGTGTCAGCACAGCCCAGGGTTGAGGGCTTGGAGTAAGAGAAAACGGGCAAGAACCTTCTATACCAACTAAGGAGTTGTGAGTTTTTTAGGTAGAGGAGTAACAAGACCATTTCAATATGCAGCAAATATTAAGCTACTACTTTGTGCATGGAGCAGTGAACAAAACAAAAATCCTTGCTGTCATGGAGTTCACACTCTAATGGGGACAGACAATAAACAAGATAAAATAGTGAAATATATAAGGTGTTAAGATAATTGCTAAGGAGAAAAATAAAGCACAAAAGGAGATATGGGGACTTCTGGAGGGGGTATACAGTTGCAATTTTAAATAAGGAAAACCTTACTGAGGTAACAGTTGAATATAATTCTGAAGATGAGAGAGTGAGCAGCTCAAATATCTGAGGGAAGAGCTATCCAGGTGAAGGAAATGGCTAGTAGCAAAGGGCAAGAGGGAGTCTGGGATAGTTGAGGAATAGCAATGGGGCCAGAGGAGTTGATGTGGAGTGAGTGAGGGGAAGAGTGGTAGCAAGTGAGATCAGAGAGGTGACGGGCCAGATCAGATAGGCCTTATGGGCCATGGTGAGGACTTTGGCTTTACTGAGTGAGGTAGGAGCCACGGGAGGGTTTTGAGCACTGGAGTCACATGTTTTGTGTTTTAGACAGATAACTCAGTCAGTGTGGCAGTTGGGTTAGAGGTGTAAGAGAGACAAGGAGATGAAGTAGAAGATTATTGCAGCCAAGAGGAGGTGGTGGACAGGCAGCCATGTAGCTATATGATCCTGAAGTTCTGAGCCAGCCTGGTATTGCGGGAGAGATCTGTGGCCCCAGGGGAGGCTGTATCCAAATGAGCAGAATCTGGAGCCTGGGGAAGCAGTGAGCAAATGGTGCACTCTGTGATGACAAAGGCCAGAACTGTCTTATTAACTACTACAACCTCAGTGACTTACACAGTGTCTGGCATATGGTAGATGTTCAGTAAATGTATCTTTAGTGAATGAATGAGTAGAGGAAAAGGAGCCCATAATAAAGACTGAGGAAGGGATCGGGGAGGTAGGAAAACATGCATAAAATGAGAATAATGGGATTAAAGATGGCAGGGTGAGAGGAGAGACAGAAGCTTCCTCCTAAAACTGGATACAATTAGAAAATTTAATTGGCGCAACTAATCCGGAGAGAGCAACAGGAAAGAGAACGACATCAGACTACATACACCTGGAGAAAAGAGCAGACCTCACTGAACGGGGTAATGTACCACAGCTGTGGCTCAGTGGGACAGGAGCCCTTCCCCCAGCTCACTGGGGGAGGAAGAGAAACAGAGCAGGGAGGGAGTGGAAGGCTTGGGACTGCTGAATACCTAGCTCCAGAGACCTGCACTGGGAGCACAAACCTACATTTCATGGTGCTTTCATGAGACTTGCATGACTATCGGGTTGGAAAGTTAATACAGGCAGAGTTCCTGGGGAAACTGGGATTCTGGACACTTGTAGAAAGTAGGGATCCATATCTGCCTGCTCTGGGACAAAAACTTATACCTGTGTGACCGGCCCACTGACTCAGGCAGTGGAGACAGGCACAGCAGCTGGGAGGTGGGGAACAGCTCTATCCTCCCCCCAGGCACCCTGCGACCCCCGACATTGCTTCAGGAGCTGAGCAGCTCCACAGACTATAGCTTCTGGACACTAGAGGGTGCCATATCCAAACATGAAATGCCAAAGGAACCTTGTCCAGAGTAAAATTATTAATACAACTCCCGAGAAAGATTTAAATGATATGGACCTCGTGACTCTTCCTGAAAGGGAGTTCAAAATAAAAATCATCAACATTCTAATGGAGGTACGGAAAGACATCCAAGAACTCAGGAATGAATTCAGGTCGGAGATCCAACTGTTGAAGAGCACGATGGAGGGTATTAAAAACAGGTTGGATATAGTGGAGGAGACAATAAATGAAATAGAAACTAGAAAAGAGGAATACAAAGAAGCTGAGGCACAGAGAGAAAAAAGGATCTGTGAGAATGAAAGAATATTGAGAGAACTGTGTGACCAATCCAAGCGGAACAATATTCGCATTATAGGGATACCAGAAGAAGAAGAGAGAGAGAAAGGGTTAGAAAGTGTCTTTGAGGAGGTAGGTCCTGAAAACTTCCTCAATCTGGGGAAGGACACAGTCTCTCAGGCCATGGAGATCCACAGATCTCCCAACAAAAGGGACCCAAGGAAGACAACACCAAGACACATAGTAATTAAAATGGGAAAGATCAAGGATAAGGACAGACTGCTAAAAGCAGCCAGCGAGAGAAATAAGATCACATACAAAGGAAAGCCCACCAGGCTAACATCAGACTTCTCAGCAGAAACCTTACAGGCAAGAAGGGAGTAGCATGATGTATTTAATGCCATGAAGCAGAAGGGCCTGGAAACAAGATTACTTTATCTGGCAAGATTATCATTTAAATTTCAAGGAGGGATTAAACAATTTCCAGATAAGCAAA